TAATAATAATAATAATAATAATAATAATAATAATAATAATAATAATAATAATAATAATAATAATAATAATAATAATAATAATAATAATAATAACAATAATAATAATAATAATAATAAAGCATTTCTTTTTTCTATGTCACGATTCGATTTCATTTATCCTTCTTCTCAACACGGTATTATCATTTGGATCAATGCAAAAATAATTCTTGAACAACTTTTTTCAACTTTTTTAAAACTTTTTTCGAACTTTTTTAACTTTTAATCACTTTTTCTTAAACTTTTTCAATAAGTTTTGAATAACAGGATTCATACCTGAATGTGATTCAGATGGATAGTGCAGTATTTGATGAAATATGAAATTTAAGCAGGTAAAATATGATTTTAATGAATATTATACTCAAGTTCACATGAAAGGTTACTTCCAAATGTCGAATACTTTAAAAAAGAGAATCATATAAGATAGGTATAATTTGGTACTTTTATTGCACGAGCGCACTTTGCCCTGTAAGAGAGGTAAAGCAAATTGCTAGGAGTTCAGCCAAATGTATACAAAGCTTAATGCATTGGTCTGGTCTGAAGAAGTGCTTTAGATAGATGCTTTCACATTGTTTATCCATTTTCTTCGTTTCAACTTTCAGGATATATTACACGTAAAAATATTGTCGGTCAATTGGCAAATTCATAACATCACTTTTTTGAAGAATCCCGGAATATTTCTGCTGTTACAGTGATTTTCTTGTGTGATTTTGTTTATTCCGTTCGAAAGTATTTTCAACGTTTACATTTTAGAACTTTAAGAAAATTGGCTAGAAACATTTATTAGTTTAAATTGAAAAATCGCGTCATTTATAGTGACTATAATTCACGTTAGCTACGTGTGCAGTATTTCCTGCAGGATGCTTTACCTTAACTTCAATTCAATTGTAGATGTGGACTATAGTTATTACTTTGTTTACTGCCTTATATTTAGAGCACCAATCCAGTGCGACACAACTATACCGCGGGTAGTTACCTTTCACATTTTCCTTAATTTCATTTTCTCATTCGTATCCTTCATAATATAACAATACTCATAGTATTAACTACTATATCTCAAACTATATTCCACACATAACATCCTAACTCACTTTATTTTATTTCATACATATTTCTTTCATTATTCTGAAAAAATGACGACTACGCTAAAGCATATTATATTTACCACAAAATCACATAATTATTAAAAGACTTGCACATTGGACTTCTATTAATTTGAAGCAAATTTAGATATAGCTTATTGCGATTTCCAATGGGAACGACAGACTGGTTGGAGCAAATAGAAGCTGATAGCTTTGCTTTAAATAATGCAAGTTGAAACTGAAATTCATTGATGTTAGCTTGTCTTGCATAAAACCGTCAAAGAATAAGCTACAACTGTTCGGTATCATTGTATCACATAGGAATTTTCAAAATGATATCAATGATCTGAATTTTATCAGTTCGAAATTTTCTTTCTTTTTTTTTTTGGAGGCACGATTAAGAGAACTTGAGAAGAAAATCAGTACAAAACCAATCTTTGAAACTTTTCTGATGAAAAATTCGATAACAATAAGATGTCGTCGAATTTCCGGGACTAAAAAGAACACTTATCGATATATGGGCAAAACCAAACATGTATCGCAATCATGCTGATGTGTTAGTTGCACCAGAATTTTTGGATCCATTCTTGGCCTTGCTGAGGATGCGTGGTATCAGTGACATACAGATCATTGCAAATGATATACAGAAGTAAGTTACCCTCAATAAATGCACTACTTCGATCTTTGATTTCCAAAGGTCAACAAATTCTCGTCATCTGTTTATTCTTTGCAACTTGAAAAAGGAAGTTTTTTAAGTGGTGTGGAAATTACTGGCAATTTAGAGAGGAACTAAATCATGTGAGTTGTTCACTGAAAGAATTATTAGAAAACTGGAGAAACTTTTCTGAAAATCTTATTTAAGAGATTTTTGAAGACGTTGTTTGGTAGTACCTAATTACTCGTCAGCATTATAAAATACTAATAGCGCCCATTGAAGGACATTAGCTGCTTTCACGTCGATTTTAAGTGAGCCAGTTTCATTACTAAGTTCAAGAAAGTCATTTTGCGACATGAATTCTCTTCACTGTCGAATATTTTACGTTTTTTCTCAACCGATTCAAGTTTTTTGTCGATTTGAGATCGAAGATCTGGAAGAGTGAATGGATAAACCAATTTTACATTTACCAATAGTCTACATTATTATCAAATCACTTGTTGTTAGTGGATTGAGAATGCAATTAGAATTGAAAAAGTTGCAGAGAAATAGATCGAGAAAGGAGAAACTTAGCCTACGCAATGAAACATCGTTCGCGACGTTCTGTGGGTGACAATTCATTAGCTGACTTCAATCTTATTGCTTATCATCGTTACGATGAGGTTTATTCCCATCTAATGATTATGATTAATGATCGTTGGAAAATAGTGCAGTCAATTTTCGTTATAAACTTCTCTAAGAAATTCGGTATAATTTCCTGAACCTTCAGATGGTATTTTAGAGTAATTAGAATTATCGACCAATCTATATGCTTTAGAAAAAGTTTTTTTGTAATTAATCACATCGTTATTAACAATGTCATTTTCTTGAATGGATTTTACAGATTGTGGAATACTTGAAAATGCTTTCAAGGCTGCATCCAAACTTAGCTGAAATATTTAACATTACGAGAACGTATGAAGGTCGCGATTTAATTGGCATTAAAGTTTGTATTAATTTTTGTTTTTAGTGACAAAGTTCGAACTTAGTCATTAATTAGAAAGTCCAGAAAAACCGTAATGGATTTCTTTAAAATAAATCTTAGACTAGCAGAAATGAAACTTTGATGCTAAATACACTCCAAATGATAAATATTGACTTCAGTAATGAAATCAATTAAAGAGACGTTACGGGACGAATAAAAATCAAAACAATTCAGATCGGATCACATGCTTCATTCAAATCCGCCATATTCATTGATGCTGGTATTCATGCCAGAGAATGGATTGCACCTGCAGTAGCCCTTTATATCATTAGCAAGGTCAAGCATTCGATCAAAAAATAATGTTTTTACTACAAGTCGGTAAACTTTTAAATGGTCGATGTAATTATGTGCATTTAATTGGGGGAAAAAATTATACTTTGAAATTAGACTTTCAGCTTGTTACCGAATATACAAAAGACTCCGATCTCACGCATATGGTAGATAAATTCGATTGGTACATTGTCCCGGTAGCTAATCCGGATGGATACGAATATAGCATGACCACTGTGTGTACACTTTCATTCATTTTCAAAAACATCAATTTAGAAAATCCATTTAATACGACATCAAATTTAAAATAGAGCTTTAAAAACACGATACTTTAATTTACTACAGAATCAATCATCGGTTTTTCTGCACTTCAATGTACATAAAATCTCTTTTGGATTTAAGTCCATGAACGTTTTATTCCTCACTGAAAAAAACTGAGTTTTTAATTTCTGGGGATGAATTACAACCTAATACAATTGGGAATATATACTTTAAAAAGGAATTGTCCTTCAAATGTAGGCAAAATTTGTATAGAAAGGTTGATTATCTCAAGAAATTAAATCATTATGAAAAAGTCTTTTGAAAGAGACTGAAATGAAAATTGTTAGAATCAAGGTTTTCAATGAACTCATAATGAATGCTTAACAAAATTTCTGGCTTTATTAATTTGTCTGCTTTTGCACTTCTTTTACCACGGTTAGCTGTGCACTTAAAGGCACAGAAAATATTAAGATTATATGGTCAAGTAGCCTTATATCGTATTCAAATCATATGGCCAGGTAGGTATATTCATACTCATTGATCTAAAAGATGCATTGTATTATAGCATTCTGCTCTCAAAAACAAAAAGATGTTGGTCGATAACCAAAACATAAGCAGTAAATATAGAAAGGGAAAATATTTACTAATCATTTACTTGGAAGAAATCTCAAAAAGTAAATAATCTAAGTAAAAAGAGAGAAATTAGCACAAGACCAATCTTGATATTAAAGATTTGAAAAACATTACCTCGGAAATAATATCGGTTTTAATCTTTTAAAAATGAGATATGAAATTTAAAAAATGAGATTAAGGTGAAGTTTAACGCGGTCCAGGACAAAAAGATGCTATGAACCGGCATCGAGGGAATTACGTCTACTTGTCCGGCATCACTTTCTAGGATCGATTGTGGAGAAAAACACGATCAAGGAATGCGACAATCAACAAATGGTGCGTTGGCGCTGATGCGAACAGAAATTGGGGCTATCGATGGGGAGGTCAGTGTCAATTAGTTTTATTTCATTATTCAGTGTAAGAGCTTTAGAAGCAATAACTCCATATATTTATATATCTAACTTTGAACAATTTTTCATCATGCGTCCCTTAGATATTTTTTTCATTTTTACAGCCCCATTATCTCAGTCCAATTTTTATACTTCAAATTAGTCTAACTGAATACTTTACAGAAGCGGGAGCAAATCGTAGTCCATGTTCAAATATCTATCCCGGTTCAGCAGCATTTAGTGAGGTAGAAACAGCAGGTATTCGTGATTTTATCACCCGTCAGATTCTTGATCTTAAGGTTTATGTTAGTTTGCATAGCTATGGACAATTATTTCTCGCGCCATGGGGTTATACCAATGATAAACCGAACAATTACTATGACCAGGTAAGTTCTTGTAAAATTAAACTATGGTTTCTAACCTTTTTCCTTTTCTTATTTTATATTATATTTAATGAGGCCTTCCACTTTAAGACTTATCAAACAAATAATTTTCTAGAAAGTAGCAAAGCTACTAAGATGACATTCTTATCAATAAACAGATTGAAATGGCAAAAAATATTCTAGTTGCTGCAAGTATCATTGCATGCTAAACTTAAACAAATACATGTTTGCTTTCATGCTGTTGATTGCAGAAGCAAGCAGCAAGTCTAGCAGTTGAGGCCATTCGAAAGAAAACTGGTGCAAAGTATAATTATGGGACTATCTCCGAATTAATGTGTCAGTTTCCTCATATATTGCTAACCTAAGTTTGTTAAATTCACCATAACTTTTGAGCTAAAAATGCATTTTTACATATAGAAAATTCAATACACAATGAATTGCGACAAAATTTAAAGAGAAATTTTAAAAAAATTTATAACCTTCGAAAACACTGAATTACAAGAAATTATTTTTGCCAAATTCTAAATTCCTTTGCGTAAATTGAAATTAATACAGATCCAGCATCGGGAACAAGTATTGATTATATGCAGGATAAAGGTGTGCCCTATATTTACGGTATCGAGCTGAGGCCTGAAGATTCCGATAACAACTTTGGTTTCACCATTCCAGCACGATTTATTGAACCCACCGGTAAGTTTTGATCAAAATTACTTAAATGTTAACAGTAGTTTTAATCGAATAAAATCGATCAGTATAAATACGATTAAGCTATCCAGTATTTATTTTAAGCGATTTCAAACAAAAATTGCCACATAATAACATCACCTTACAGTTCTCATACCAAATTTGTAATGATCTGATTTTTGACAATATTTTATTTTATCTAAACAAGAGAGATTTGGGCACTAATCGACGTTAGGTTAGCTTGAAATGTTGCAAAATCTCAAGTTGCATTAGGTTGCTAATGCAACTTGAGATTTTGCAACATTTCCATGCATTAGGTTGCTTCCAAAAAAGCAACAGCATCGTTATTTTCCTCACGTATAATATTAGATTACAAAGAAAAAAATACCATTATCAATGTTAAACTTCAGGAATTAATTATCTTCAGGCGAAGAGATGATATCAGCATTACAAACAATGACTGATTATGTGATTAAGAAAAACTATAAATCAATTTCGTTTCATTTCTAGACCATTCCGGAAGATTATTTGCCTTCATAAACTCAAGAATCTCAAAACAAAGGCTATACAGAACTTCAGTCTCTTGCGACAACAATTTCATTGAGCATGCCTTGATGACTCAACTTCCTTGGGTTTATTACTTGTTGCAATCCCAGCCAGTCTTTTCACGTACAGTACTAGATTACAAAGAAAAAATACCATTATCAGTGTTAAACCCCAGGAATTGAGGTTTCTCAGAGTGGTAATCGTCAGCCAAGTCACGCTTTGTTCCTAAGCACCAAAACTGTTGGAACAAATATGTTAGCATTCGCGAATATAATAAGCATTAATGAGTAGAGAATCGGAACCAAATTTGGCTCCCGAGGACGTCTGCGCATTCTTTACCTGACCCATACTAACAATAACCTAAAACCGGCGAAACAATTTGCAACCTCTAAAATCTCCACCCAACTTTTCAAAAACTTACAAATAAGTGCACACAGTCCCGAATTTTCGATATAAATTAGAAACTGGAAATCGCAACAACCGCGTTTTAAAAAGAGTAATTCTGCCATGTAAAATACGGGCTCGTGCCAGCATTGTCTCCTGTTCGCTTCTATCCATACAATATGATATACTCCGATCTACCTGAGCTTTTATTAAACTAAATATATAATCCGATGTACTCTACGATGATTATACCGCTTATATCCGCCTGATCGAACCAGTTGGATAACTCATTCCAGCAAAAGTACTGAAATTTTATCCAGGGGGTATTTGTGGTTTTGCTCTTACTGTTACTATATTTGGGAGATTTTACTTTGCGGAATTTTCAAATAATTCTGTATAAAAACATCACTTTCACATAAAGAAATAGTTACTGGACTACGAATTATATTTCAGCAAAGTTTCTGGGAAAGTGAAATTTAGAAAAGATTGGTCCCTTCTCCTATTCAGTGTTTAGAAGCGAAAGAGAATCAAGACCTTCCGATGTTAACCAGTGATAGTGTTGATGGCAGGTGGAAGACAACTTTGTAAATGTTTTTGAGGAAGAATCACGTGCAGTAACTTGCAACTTCATCGGGGAAAAGATACACCAAACATACCAAAGCATACAAAGGGATATATATAAGCGACATATGAGAATTCGTAACATAACTGGGTCTTTTAAAAGGAAAGATTAAAATGAAGAAATGATGTGGATAAGGATTATTGCATGAAAATGTATAAAAAATACAGCACTTGAACATACATACATATACAGCTTGCTCAATAGTAATATCAGAATAAAAACTGATATTTAATGCCTTTCAATGTAGCCAAAATGTACTGCTATGTTTCCCATCATAAAATGAAACAAATACAATAAAGTTAGCAACAATTTTGCTTTCAGATTTTGGATTTCTTAAAAATAATAAATTTAACTAAAGACATATCAGGTTCATGCAACTGCTAATTTATTTAATCAAAAGCATGCTCTGCTGAATTTAATTCACGCACGTTACCCTGCAAATGCCAAATCACAAATCAATCGCTAATTCACAATTTCCATGATAAGAACATTATAAAACCATATCTTTCAAGTTATAATAGAATTAACTATTGCAAAATGCATGTTTAAGAGTACAGAACTTACAAAACCTTACAAAATCATAATACGATGAATTACATTACCACCGAAAGTGGCTCATTCTTCACATTTTAATTTAGCAAGAAACCCGTAATATGATGAACAAAAACATTTGGAAAATCAAGAAAAGACTATACAAAAATAGAAAAAATCTAAACATGCTTATAATCATCAATCAAATTGTTAGCATTTGTAAAGCAAATATTTTTTCAGGCCAGTTGGCAACCTCAGCTCTCGTGCCCGATAAATACGGTCTTTTCTTAAAAATGTCCGAATTGATCGTCGGCATAATTCCAAAAGCGTCAGCGGTTCAGCTGTAAACAAAATAAAACATTACTCACTCCGGCAAAAATTTGTTGAAGTTATAGCAACTAATTAAAAACCTGTTTTCCCTTTTTTCTTCTTGGAGAAAAGAAAAGAAAAAGAGACTTCAAATAATCCTAGATGTCGCCACCCGCACTCCTAATACACGAAATGTTAAGTAACTCAGAACTGAAAAAATGTTTTGCATCAAAAGAAATACCTCCAAGTTGAGCCACGTAACTATTACCAAAAAGTAAAAGCATTTCATAAGCCCCCGAATAAAACTACAATTGCAATTAGCAAGTGCATGCGTTTATCCGGATGATTTTTTAAATTTCAAAGAAATAAGCATCTTTGAAAGTTCGCTAATTTATCTGAATGTTGATCAGTTCTAAATCGAGTGACTGTTCTATATTTAGAAGTATATTTAGAAGTAAATGTCTAGAAGCCCAAGTTTGGAATTCCAATGAACATTAAGGCTATACAACAGACTATATCGGTCTCCTTCAAATTAGAAAGTTTCCCAGTACAATGCTTGATATATTCCTGTACGACATTGAAACGAATGATATTTAAAGTTATTTAATATTTCGACGAGTTGTTGCTGAAGCATTCTCCGTTTGGAGCACCGGAAATGTTTTTTTAATATCCAAAATACGAAGCCATAATTAGCAAGATACTGTTACCAAAAAAGGAAGGATAAAAAGGTTACCAAGATTGATACACACTTTTTTAGTCCTAAAAACCCTCCAGACAATAAAAAATACTGCAGCTTCAGCCTTAACCGATCCCCAAATCAATGAAAGTTCCTTGTGTGATAACACTGATAACACACTGAAATTTTTTTTGGAATCAAAATTTTCAGCTCTTCAATTTCTCATAAAATTAAGACACTGAAAAGTAGAGAGAGAACTAACGATCAAGCCCTCCGAGGTATTTTATGGTGATTTCACAGTGGCCCCAAACCGCGGAAACAATTGGATACAGTTCTCGACCCTTCAAACCTGTAAATGCTACACCATAATAGTCAGCATCAGAAGCAAATGCCATGTATCCTTCGTCCATATCAAGAATACAGTAGAACTGATCAGGTGCCAGATGATTCTCATCGCGTAGTGTACATTTGGGATATGTCCAACCATTTGTGTTCTTTGAATCATGATAACACTTATTGCGTACTAAAATTGTTCTTAATATCCATTCCAATTTCATTGGTATTCATTTCAATTTCAAACTGTAACAACTTCAACTTGAGTGAAAAGTAAAAAAATATATATTAGCCACTAAGTTTTGGCTGCTGCGCATTCTTGAAGTTATTCTAATGCCTCGTGCAAGACCATCACAAGCGTAACTCACTTTTTTTCCACCCATATGAAGTTAGTAATCAGTAATAGAGCTTTTTGGTTTCCGCACATAATGACAGAATAAACAATGAACTACGACTCTTCAAACTGAATCTATTCCTCAAGAAAATGTTAAGATTCATAAGATTCATAAGGCTTTAGAATGTATCATGAAAAGAATTATAGGAATAACACAAATAACAATCAGGTTCTGACTGACAGACATTTAGGAGTGCTTTTCATTGACAATGCAAACAGTGCCACTTACAATCAAGAAATATAACTGAAATATCACGTTGAAACTTTGAACTAATCATAGCAACATGTTCATGTCTCTTCCTTGCGGATATAAATAGGAAGTTATAACAATGAACAAAGAGAAGAAAAGAGAGAGGAAAAAACTAACTCAAATCCCATCCATAGGACTCACTATTAGAGCCAATAAGTGATGTATAACCAACAGCATGCAATGATGCCGCTTTCGTTGCTACACCCACTGAAGCATGAGTTCCTCTCTGTCTCTGCGGCCATTTAATTTGCCAAACATGAAAACCCTTCGAGAAACCAATCTTGAAACAGAAAGACTAAAATGTTAAGAATGAAAAGTTAGCAAAGCTTACTATTTGAACCTAACGCAAGAAAACAGGCTTAAAAATTGTTAATGCAAAGTGAATTTACACCTATTATGTTAAAAGACTGAGCTTGCAAGTTGTCTTTTACTATCAAAGGTTCTCTAGATCAAAAATGCTAAGAAATCATACAATATCTTAGCTAATAATCAAGCTACAATCATTTCGTCAAGTCCCGAAGGGCATCTCTGTGAAGAAAATTCGTCGTTGATTAATTAAACGAAAAGGTAACCCTTTTCTTGTTATTTAGAGCGCCTGAGGTAATTTCGAAACAGAGGAACCAACATTCTCTCCTTCCCTTTAAGCCTTACTTAATGTGAGCTTATAGTGACTAATCGCAATATGAAGTGTTGATCAACTATACTGACTTGAAAATTCGTGGGATTAAGAGACTCTTATGTTTGAGAAAGTCGACAAAAAAGCTAAAGTAACGTGTATATCGAAGAACTGTCTTGAAATCTTAAAAAGAAAAGAGAAAAAAATAAATCAATTGACATATAAAAACTGCTAATTCTCAGAAATTTAAAAAAAAAGCGGGGACTTTTAACTTATGATAGACGCAGTTAATTTTTTAAATTGCTTAATTCACCTTAGCACGAATGGAATCGGTGGACTGAGCAACTGGGTGTCTGTGGAATGTCAATCGATCATCATCCTTAACAAAAATGTTGAGTGAACGATCATCTGGATTCCATGCATATGCTTCCATTACTTCAAGTGGTGGTGGTGACGAACTGATGATTTGGTCAAATCGACTTGGACGGAACATGTCCTCATAACAAGAACCCTGTAAAAAGATGCCGGAAGATTTGTTTAAAAATCCAGTTAACTTGAAATTTAGTTAATTTACATGATTGTGAAAATCTATAAATGCGGGCGCCAAACCGAAACTGACAATTAATATTAGTAACTTGTTATATGGGTATATAGATAGGCATGTGTCAAAATACAGTGTGCGGAGTATCAAATCTCCTGTACTTTTACACTCTGCAAATTATCGTGATGAAACAAACCATGGGATTAGCATTTGACTGGGTGCGTGACCGTGAACCATTCAACTCCATTACCATAGTTGTAGAGTGTGGCATAGAACTCGAAGCAGTGCTTAAGCTTCGAACAGCTAGATTTTGTTCACGTGAAATACGATGCGAACGATCGAAAAGATGCTGCCGTCGTAGGCTGCTGCTATTAGCACTTCCACCAGTTTCGGCAACAGTATTGCTAACACACTCTTCTTCAATTACACTGGATCCAACCTGTGCTTCATGTGAAGGACGCAAAACTCTACGTGTTGCGACATTTTGACGAATAGCTGGTTGCTGTGTGGCTGATAGTACCACTGCATTGCTACCACCAATGACAACATCATACGAAGATGATGCAGTTAGTGATGGCACATCTGAAGTGAAAAAAAAAAAAAAAAACCAATCTGAAAGAAAACTTATCAAATTGTTTACGAATTAATGCCCACATACTTAAGGTTAGTGCAATCAGAGATAATTCAGGCCAAAATAATGCTGATCATATGTGGTGAATCATCTTTAAAAGATAAGTTTCTTTTGCAAAACTCATCGAAACTTTTGGAATTATTCCAATCCCTTGCGTAAGATCATCACAAATGTAATTCAGTCTTCTTCTACCCATATGAACTTAGACAACCAGTAATAATAGCAGCGGAATTCAAATCAGTAGGTGACAGAAAGACCACCCATATAGCAAATAATAACTCATAATGGTTACTGATAAATTTCGGAGAAAGATGCAAAACTCATGAGTAGGATAAATTTAAGATTAAGTAATCTCCTGAAGAAAAACTATTCTATGACTTAAGTTTTCGAGAAAAAAAGAAAAAATCAAGAAACTTCCCTCTCTATGCTTTAGCACTACATCGGAACTTTCAGAAACCTAATGGCATGACATCAATGGCTGAAAAAACAACACGCTATAACAAACTCATATGAGAGGAACAATAACAGAAACCAATATAGTAACACTGACAAATATGCAGAATATCAAGTGAGTTTTAACGTTTCATATACCAAGTGAAAACAGCAATGGTCCCTTCCCTTACTCATCATTTCACCACAATGTCATGGAAATCATTAATCATTAATACGAATACGGAAAAAAGTAGCCAGAAATAATAACGCTGTAATAATGCCAAGTGATACAATGTTTACTACCAACTTTGCCATTTCTGTTTCATTTTTGGTCTCGCAGCTTGAAGCTATGCTTTCTCTTTGTTTTAAAAGCAGTTAATTAAAAATTTTTCGATGTGTGCGATATTATAATGCGAACAATGATTAAAAAAGATATACACGCATCGAAACACATAAAAATTAGAAAAGAAATCCATGGAAAAAATTTATAGGTGGACTATAAAGAGATTCTTGCTGAAAGAAAGATGAACGAAGAGAAATGAAATGTATTCGTACTGCAAAAAAAAAAGAGGTCCCTTTATGGATTCAATTATCAATACTGATTTATAAACGAAAAAAGCAAACTTTGAAGAAAAATAGAAAATGTGCTTTTCATTCAGGAAGAATTAGTGGTTTGATATTGAATTCATTTTTCAGAAGCTGGTCTTTTCAAAATGAAGCCTCCATTACTGATTATAAACTTTCCGCATATTCCATAACATCTGTCCATAACATTCTCATATTTCAAGATATTCATTATCAGAAGTGGACTAAACCATACGTCCTATATTGAATTGACATATCTGAAGAATTGCGATTCGTAGACATATGTGAGAAGAAAAACGAAAGAATTTTTGGACAATTCAATAGTTAACTACTGATACTTAATAAACACATGAAAGAAACACACCTTAATAATACATGCGCATGCAATACATTCTGATGAACATCTATACAAGTACATAGCAGGAAAATGATTCATAAATCACGAAAAATATTTTGCTTGAAACGCTAAATTTACAAAACTTAGTGTGATTTTCTTACATCTGAAATAAAAATTGGTAAAAGTAGTTAAGGAGTAATCGAAAAGTGGAAGTAGTTGAGAAGTAAATAAGTGATAATCCACAAAAATGTGTTTTTATCATTCGCTACATATTATCTAGTAGTTACCAGATAATCCACAAGTCTCCTGAGTTCTTGAAGTCGAAGATTTAAATTTCATCTGATAATTATTAGACAATATACAGCAATGATAACGTAAATGAAGAACACGAGTATTGAGAATGGCTATAAGAAACGGCAGGAATTAAAAAAGTAACCTACTCCAAAACAAGAACGGTAAGATATGATAACGAATGAAAGAGTGTGTTGCCTTCAACCAAACAGGTTTTCTGAATGAAGTAAGGAAGGAAATGAGATCCTGGAAGGATCTATTATGTGCACTATTCTCCTCGTATTCTACTCCAATATTTCTAGAAATGATCACTTCATCTCACCACTTTGCTACAGTGCCCTAGCTATAGTCTAAATTGCTTCCCTTAATGGAAAAGATCAGAGAAGAAATACTTCGGGCTCCTGAAAAAATCCATACACTTGACATTAATAACCCAAAAACAGCAAGCAAACTACTGATCTTATATCCAACTCTTCCGTAAACCATCACCTGAAACTACAACTTGACTAATTCATATTTATTAATTGAACTAAATCATGATATTGATCTGAAAAAAATGATTTCGAGAGCAACCACATAACTACTATCCCAGATCCCACCTTCTAATTAAAACTTAGTGGGAGAAAAGTCTTTTTCAATATGCAAAAAATGCCTAAACTTGGAAAGACCATTTTGCATCCCCGGGAAAAAAAGATGTTCTATAAGGCGGAAACTATAACATTCTTCAACATGTTTTCATATTTTTCAATCCAAATGCAAAAGAAAAGAAAACTGAATTCGAAAATTTGAAGTCGAAATACTTCATTCCTGCCATTTCGAGAGCTTTCATAAATCCTATCATTCAATGGAAAGAAAAATGTAAATGTTGAAGCGAATACATGTTGCATTCCAACAACACCTTTTCGATTTTAATTTTCCAGTTTTTTCTCCAAAAGCAAGTTTCAAACGCTCGTTACAGAAACTAGCTTTATGGAATAAGAGAAATGCAATGGATATTTTTGATTTCGTATGCTCATTTTGATCAGTATTACTATATTTTCCCATGACTTGAGTGCCTAAGTTAATAATCGGTTTAATTTTTAAATAATATGCTGTGATACCGATACTACAGTTCGAACGTTACCAAAGTACCAAAATATGACAGAAAAACATGATGGTACCGCCCGGAGAAGAAATACGCCGAAGAGAAATATTTCAGCAGGAATGCCTGTCAAATTTAACCAGTCAAATCCCTCTAGTATCAACTTCTAAAGCCATGTAAAAACATATATTTTCGGAAGTTAACACAGAAACTCGCAAAAGAGGTCCAACACAAAATAAATTTTTATTAATTCAAAGTACTGACATAATACTTAAAAATGAACCTATTAACGCTAAAACCTATTAAATGAACCTATAAACCTATTCTCGGATTATTTTTTAACTCTTTTTAGAGATTCTAATCATGAGTGCAAGCCAGATCGATTATTTAAAAAGTCTTAAAAAAGATACAAACCTATTCTCTAGCGGTCTTATTTTCCATTAACATCAAATTTAATGATATTTATAAGTGCTAGTATTTGTATCAGTGTCAATGTGTTTAATTTCCACTGATTTGATTTCCAGGTAGAAAAGGCGTTCGATTAGTCAGTTTTTCAAAAACAAGTTGTTTCTATTGATAATATAGGCAAAAATTAAAAACGAGCAAAGTTTTGAGAAATTTCTGAATTTTAGAATGAAAAAAAGAGCAAAAACACAACCAGCCAAAAGCCGAAAAAAACATAATTGTCGTTCCGCACCTTTTTGTCGAAAAAATAGAAACCTGATGAAAGAAATCTGTGCATAAAACTGCAAATCCCTATAAACTCTAGACTCACTGCAGTATAACCCAAGCTTTTCCAAAATTTAGCAAATAAATCTTTAGCAACTTCAGTACTTCAAAAATCTGACTGCAATATATGCAGTTCTGTTAAGCTTACTATTTATTAAATTATTGTTAAAACAGTTAAATCAAATTTACAGAAAAAGATGAATACAGTTCTGCTTACGTATTTGTTATATGGAATGAATGTTTATGTGAATCATAGCATGTTAGTTGACGTATGTCTAAGGATGAGACGTATGTAACTGAAAAATGAAAAGAGTCATGAAAAATGAATATTGCAAATAATGGATACCAAAGTAAGCTAAGATATCACAGAAAAGCAGCTTGTTTTAAACATAGCTCCACGACTCTTTCAACTTCAATTAATAAATGTTTTTCATTCCTCATGGTAAGTATCGCTTCAACTAATATTTCCATGGATTTTTGCGTTCCTTTAATTCAAACAGTAAATGATTTAGAACCTTCAATCATCATGCTACAAGCATATTAGCATCAATTCTTCCAGAAAATGACCAAATATTAAGAAAAAACCGTCTCCATTTATGTGTAACCCAGAAGTTGTCAAAATCCTGAAAGCATCAACTCGCTTGCTCATCATGTCTAGCCAGAGAAGCCATCATGCCTAACAATTAAGAACCAAAAGGTTAAAAAATTTAAATGAGTGATTGCGGAGACGCAGGGAAAGAAAAAAAAACTATTGAAATCTGCGCATGAACTGCTAGTCCAAATAATCAATAAAGCAAATGCTGCGCTATGACGACATAAGCGCAAATAAACCAGAAAAACATAATCAGTGCTTGACGAATTTAGTTAATCCAATGTCCAACACGGGATATATTATTCGTTTATAAGGGATCGGTGATTTGTGAAAAGGTCCTCTAATTTAGTGGTTCCGAACCGGCGGTCTGCGAAAACTAAACAATAGTCTACGAGGACGCGATGCGGTGAGTAGAAAACAGGAGGAGGCTGTTTTCTTTTTCTGTTTTTTTAAAAGTACACGTTGATTCGTTTGTCGGCAATAAAGGTTTATTCGGGGTTATAATACTCTACTATACGACTGATGAAAGTCAAACTGAATTTTCTATTAAAAATGTCCCTTCTTTTTATATTATAGTGCTACTCCAAGTCTGATTGACTGATACGTCAAGGATTTTGATAGAAATTTATTTTCAAATTAACTGAATTTATTACTTTCGAATCTTGTTTCCCTGCTACAAATGAAAAAGCCAAACTGGTCTCTGAAAAAGTTGGGAACCACTACTCTAATAGAAATATTTTTCAAGCAAAGAAACTCCTTTGAATCCAACATCGACGCGATTACTAACACCAGTTTTGGCAGTTATAACAGAATTTCAACAGCATTAAAACTGAATATATTACCAACATCAGTTTGGTAGTTGTAAGAGAATTTCAACACATCAAAACCAACAACTGATGAAACTTACCACTAATAAATGCGTAGTAGAAAGCAAAATAGCTGCTGAAATTCAAGAAATTCTCCAGTATAAGAAACTCAACAAATTTTGATTCAAAGCGAAATGTTCTTTGTGCTCATTTCTAAAAAAATCGCTTCGGAAACTTACTCCTAAATTTCTGGCACGGTCTTTAACACAACCTAATTGCGTTAAATCACATGGTAACCACTTTCTATAACCCACTACAATGTAAGAGCTTACGGTGCTTAATA